CCTTCCCACCCAACAAGAGAGTCGCCACATTCTGTTCATGGAGGGCAACAGAAAAACACAGATCGGCTGCGGAATCTTCATCGCACCGAACCCCGCGATAATCCACACAATGTGGGTAGGTGGGAGAGAGCGCGCCCGTGGCACATTCCCAGAGAGGGGGGGGGGGCCTTAGCTACACCTCCCCCCTTGGACCTTCCCTCCCGGACCCCCCCGCCTTTTTCCGACCCTAGGAGGCTACCACCCCCCCCTCTCTCTCTTTCCAAACGGGGGAAGGCTTACCTACTACCCCCCCTTTGAACCTCCCGTGCCAGAAGCCCCACCCCCTCCCCCCTTTGGAACTAAAAAGGGGGAAGCTTTGACCCCCCGCCCACCTTTGGCCAAAGCAAGGAGCGCCGAAGTCCAAAAGGGCGCCGGAAATCACCAGAGCGCCGAAAACCAAAGAGCCACCGAAAACCGAAAGGGTACGAAAACCAGGGGTGCGGCGAAAACCGAAGATGAGCCGAACATCGAGAGGGCGCCGAAAACCAAAGGTGAGCCGAAAACCCAAAAGGGCGCCGAAAACCAAAGGGGCGCTGAAAACCAAAGGAGCGCCAAAAACCTAAGGGGCGCAGAAAAAAACGCAGGAGCGCCCACAACCAAAAAGGAGCCGAAAACCACAGGAGCGCCGAACACCAAAAGAGCGCCGCAAAGCAAAGGGGCGCCGAGAACCAAACGGCGCCGAAAACCTAACGAACGCTGAAACTAAAAGGGTGCCGAGAATCAAAAAAAGCTCCGAAAACCAGCGGGGCGCCGAAAACCAGAGTGGGCGCCGAGATCCAAAGCAGAGCCGGAGACCAAAAAGGGCGCCGAGGAACAAAGGAGCACCGAAACCCAGAAGGGCGCCAAGAACCAAAGGGTCGCCGAACTTGAAAAAGACGCTGGAAGCCAAATGGGCGGCGAAAACCCAGGAGGCGCCGACAAACCAAGAGGACGCCAGACACCAAGAGGGCACCGAAGAGCAAGACGGTGCAGAAAAAAACGCTGGGGCGACGAAAGCCAACAGGGCACCGAAAACCAAAACGGCGCCGAAAACCAAAGGAGCGCCGAAAGCCGGCGCCGAGAAACCAAGGAGCGACGAAAACCGAAAAGGCGCCGACAACCAAAGGGGCGCAACAAAAACAAGGGGACGTCAAAAACCAAATGAGGACGAAAACCAAAAAAGCGCCGAACACGAAAAGGGCCGGCGAAAACCAAAGATAAGCCGGAAACCAAAGGAGCGCCGAAAACCAAAAGGGCACCGAAAACCCAAGGGGCGTCGGAAACCAAGAGGGCGCCGAAAACCAAAGGGGCACCGAACACCCACAGGGGCGCCGAAAACCAATAGGAGCGCCGAAAACCGAAGGGGCTCCGAAAACCAACGATGCGCCGAAAACCAAAAGGTCGCCGAAAACCAACGATGCGCCGAAAAACAAAAGGGCGCAGAAATACCAAAAGAGCACCGAAAACAACCGAAGCTCCGAAGACAGACCGGGCGCCGAAAACAAAAAAGACGCCGAAAACCAAATGGGCGCCGAAAACCGCAGGAGCGCCGAAAACCAAAGGAGCGCCGAAAAACAAAGAGGCGCCGAAAACCAAAGGAGTGCCGAACACCAGCGGTGTGCCGAAAACCAACAGGGCGCCGAAAAACCAAAGACGCGCCGATAACCAAAAGGGCGTCGAACACCGAAGGGCGTCCAAAAACCCAAGGCGCGCCGAAAGCCGAAGGGCGCCCAAAATCCAAGGGGCGCCGAAAACCAGAGGAGCGCCGAAAACCATTGGGGAGCCACAAACTGAAGGGGCGCCAAAAGCCAAAAAGGCTCCGAAAACCAAGAGGGCTCCGAAAACCCAAGGGGCGCCAGAACCCAAGAGGGCACCGAAAAAGAAACGATGAGCCGAGAACCAAAGAGTGCGCAGAAAACGAAAAGGGGTGTCGAAAACCAAAGTAGCACCGAAAACCACAGGAGCGAACCGAAGGAGCGCCAAAAACCAGAGGAGCACCGAAAACCAAAGGGGCGCCAAAGGCCCACGGGGCACCAAAAACCAACGAGGCGCCGATAACCAAAGAGACGCCGAAAACCACAAGTACGCCGAAAACCAATGGGGCGTCGAAAGCCAACGAAGAAAAGTAGCTTTGAAGCCCCCCCCTTCAGCCAGGGCCCCCCAGCTGGAAAAGTCAGAAGGAGGGGAGAGAGGGGTTAGCTTCGGAAGGCCCCCCCCATTGGAAAGGGGAGCCCGGGCTTACACTGGGCCCCGCAAAGGAGGGAGGGGAGCTTCCAAGCGCCCCCCCTCTTTAGCCAAGGACGCCCCAGCTACAACATCTAAACGAAAGAATGGGGGGGGGCGTCGGGAGCCCCCCCTTTGAAAGAGGAGTCCGGGCTGAACCCGGGCCCCGAAAAGGGAGAGATAGGGGGGGTCTAGTTTCCAAGCCCCCCGCCCCGCCCCCTTTAGCTAGGGCCCCCCCAAGCAAAAAATGTCTGCAAAA